CATCCATATTACACTGTTACTTGACCCATATTACACCCAAGTAACAGCAATTTAACACCCATATAACACCATTGTTACACCCATATCACACCCATATTACAAACAAATACGCCCTATAGAGTGGTGCAGTGCAGAGTCCTAAAACCCGGAAGTGAGTTACCACTTCCTGTTCCCTCGTCTCAGAGTCAATGGGATTTCTCCATAGGAATTTGGAAAATAGCTGGAAATAAGTTCTGTGGTTGACACACATTTAAGAGACGGATCACGTTTTGTTCTACGACATTAAATACATCAGCAGTGACCCCACTGGTGATTTTTGAAGAGTTTACGAGTCTGAAAAACGATGGTTGTTAACAAGTGGCTGAATAGGACTACAGAAGTTGTTGAGGACGTTGTACGTCATTACACCGAACACGTAAACACTCCCGCTAAGTTTGTTTGCCCTGTTCTGCTTAAAAGCAAGTACCTGCCTCCTGCAAACTGTTAAAACAAAAGCTTCAACTTGTACAATTTAGAATCTGTATTTTTGAATATGGATCTTAAGTTGGCGCGACGTTGAAGTCGTTCAACCCTGCCGTAGTTCGTTTATATCTTAACGTTAGCATTTTGCTTCTGGCGATTACATTTAAGATTTGAAAATTATAAAAGTAGGATAGACATGTGGATATTATCCGGCTGAAAAAAACGTGCATTTATCTAACAGGTTCGTTTTCCACAGACCTTATTACGAGCTATCTTCCAAAATCCTATGGAGAAATCCCATTGCTTTTTTGTCGAGTGAACCCATGCGCAGCTTATTTCCGGGTAAATACGTCATCCCTTACACCCATGTTACACCATTATTACCCCCGCCATACATCCATGTTATACCCACGTTAAACCCATGTTACACTGTTATTAGACTCATATTAGACCCATGTAACACCACTATTACACCATTATTGCACCATAATTACACTGTTATTACATCCATTTTCCACTTGCACACAGCATGTCAAATGTCTGTATCCTGGGGTAAACCACTTAACTAGGACTGCACGATATTGGAAAAACTGATATTGCGATATTTTTTCCCCTGCGATATATATTGTGATACAGTATGAACAAAATACAGGAATTGAAGAAAAGACAGTTTTTTTTGTCCGCAAACCATCCTTTCTTGAACTTTAAAGCTATACAATTGGTATTTTTCTAACTATATTTAACTGGATGAAGGATTCTAGTCACGGACGTCTGGATCTTAAAGGTGGGGTAGGTAAGTTTCAGAAACCGGCTCGAGATACACTTTTTGTTATATTCCATGGAATGCTCTTAACATCCCGATAGCAATGAATATCTTAAGTGCTTTGACAAAAAATCCATAAAAAAATTTCATCTGTGGAACCCGTAATACTGTAAAAACTACAACCAATTCGTTTAGCCGGGCCTTCCATCTCGTGCACACACAAATGTATCTCGTGCCCTCATTGGGCGTGCCGTCATTGGGCGTGCATTGCAGCAGTACTTCAATGACTCGCCAGCAACAGGTGGCCACTTTCACCATGGCAGAGTTAGGTTCAACATCGTCTACTGGTCGCAAAAGAAAAAATGTAATGGAGCAAATAAAGAACAAAAAGAAAGTGGAAACTAGGAGAAGTCAAACCAGAGTCAATATCGGAGTTGCTTTGGCTGTGTAGTATTGCTAACCGAGATGTGTTTAGCTTTGCCTGATATG